ACTGGGGATGTGCCCGCAACCCAGGTACATGCCCTTGACCGGAATCGAACCTGGGACCCTTCAGTCCGCAGGCCGACGCTCTATCCACTGAGCCAAACCGGTTTCGGCAATTTTGAACATTTTATATAAATGGAATGTGGTCTTTTTTGACTGGCTTTTCCCCCCCACTTAGAATGTTTTCAAGGTTTATCTAAGTTGAAGCATGTATTAGTACTCTGTTCTTTTTCATTGCTGAATAATATTCCATCTTATTTATCCATTCATCTATCGATGAACATTTGAGTTGTTTCCATCTTTTGACTGTCTTGCATAATGTTGCTATAAACATTCTTGTACAAGTTTTTATATGGGCATATGTTTCCATCCCTCATATATCCAAAAGTACAATTTTTGGGTCAAATGGTAACCGTTTCACCTTTTGAGGAACTAACACACTGCTTTCCAAGGTGGCTGCACCATTTTACATTCCCACCAGCAGTGCATGAAAGTCCCAATTCTCCACATCCTCCAGCACTTGTTATTATCGGCCTTTTTTATTATAGCCATCCTGGTTTTGATTTGCATTTCCCTGGTGGTGAATGATGTTGAGCCTATTTTTATGTGCTTATTGGGCATTTGTATATTTTCTTTGGAGAAATATCTATTCAGATCCTTTGACCATTTTTAGTTGGGTTATTTGTCTTTTTATTGTTGAGTTGTAAGAGTTCTTTATATTGTTGGCCTGAAAAATTTTGATACCAGAAACAGTTGGTCAGAGCCCCCTCTCCTTCCATTGTGAATGGAGGCATATCCCTAGAGAGAATTTCAGTTTTAAGGCTTAAGCCCCGCCAGATGGCACTGTTTAAAAAGATTCTTGGTGCACAGCGGGAGTTGTAGTTCTGAGGTTTTGAGTCCTTACAAAGCAAAGGCCAGCGCGGTAATTGGGGCTGATAGAAAGATCATTTACTGGTCCATGAAGCCTAGGACAGGAGGAGCAGTGTAGGGGCAAGTGACACAGAAAATAGCCTGTTTTTTTATATGGAGTGAAGCAACTTCACAGGAACTGGGACCCAATGGACATTAATTTCCAATTCAGCACTCTTCACAGGAGCATGTTTTCTTATTAACTTCTCTCTGCTTGTATAGCCTGTTTTCTTGTGGTCAGCTTTTTAAAGTCAACACTTCTTTACATACCCATTTCTTTGTATCTACGTAGTCCACAAAATTGTCTCTTAAAAGCCACTGGGTGTGTTTTTGCCACAAAAACAGATGTTCTGTAAAGGGAGTGATTCATACTCAAAAGAGACCCGAGTTCTGTGTGCTCCTGCAAGGTTAGGCTGTTTCTGCACCTTTAAAGATGGTGCTCCTGTTGCTGTCGGCTGGCCCTGTATTCATGAGACTCGGGGAGGCTCATAGGCTTCTCGGGGCCTCGTGAAGCCTATGTGACCCAAGACCTTTGAGAGCCCAGGTGAAGAACCTTCATCTTCTGTCATTGTTGGGGAGTGTGACTCCCGCCAGTGAATTTTCCAGATCATATTTGCCTATGAGAACTCCTTACCTGACTCCTTCTGTCCTCCTTACTGTAACCTACCCCCTCTGGGCATCTGCTGGATAGCTACAGTCTTCTCCTGACCCTCTTTCTAGTTCCTCAGAACTCTGTGCTCTCTTGAGGCCCCAGACTTTTGTGTAAGCTGTTTCCTCTGCTGGAAACTCTTTCATACACACCCTCCAAAAATGAATCCATCAATGCAGATGGACTAACTCCTTCCTCTGCAGGTCCCAGATGGAGCTGTCTGCTGGGAGCTCTTCCTTTAGCCCACAAGGGGACCGAGCTCCCCCAACGTGTGTCTCTGTTCCTTGACTTTGGCCATCATGTCCCTTTATTGTTTGGCTGGTTTAGTGTCTGTCTAACCGCAGGAGAGTTAGTCCCTCTAGGGTGGGGTGAACTTTGAGTCCTATTGCCAGGACTTATCACACTTCCTAGAAAGGGATTCATACTCACCAAAGTTTATTTCAAAACTTCCAAGCCTGCTCCATTCAGGAGAACACCTGTCTAAACACCCGCACATGAGCCCAGCAGCCTTTGAGCTCCTTTTGCCCAGTTGTTATCTCTTGGTTTTCTCCTGTTTTGAGCAATTTTGGTTGCCCCTTCCTTGGCCCTGCATCCATCCCACTCCCTTCCAGTTTTTTCTTCCTCTTAACAGATAAAGAAGTGGGCCTGGCCAGGGCAGAGGAGCCAAGGCCTGGCTTGCAAAGCAGGAAAAAACAAAAAAAAAAAAAATCAAGAGACTTCCCTCGTGGGAAAGAAACCCTGCTGTCCTGGCTATCTTTGGATGCTTCAGCCTGTGCTGTCAAGAGTCCATTCCTTGGCCCCCGGGTCTCCTGGACCCATTTCCCAGGGCTGTGTGGTGCAGTGTGCTAGAATGCTCTCCGTTGACACTTCCTGCTCAGGGGAGGATCCCCACCCACACCCCAGTGATGAGTCAGAGCCTTCAAAGCTCTTCCCACTTCCTGCTTGGCCTGGCTGTAGACATGCTGCCCAGCCCAGACATTGGAGAGCATCCTGGCTGTCATCTGGATGCCTTGATCCAGACCTCCAGACACACACAAGGAGCCTCCAGACGCTCGCACCTGCCATCTGAGTGTGACTGGCAGCCTGTACAGTCAGGAAATGTAAGCGCAGCGTGGGGTAAGCCTCCGGTGTTGGTGTCAGCTGTGTGAGAGACTCAGTATTATAATTCAGATGAAGATGGTAAATTGTGCTATAATAATGTAGCATCATCTCGGTTGTCAGATCTGATCACTTTAAAAAGAAAATTTGAACTCTATGAAGACATGGATTTTTGTTTCATTCACTGTTTTATCCAAAGTACCTAGAAGAGTACCTGATACATAGTTGGCACAAATATATTTTGTGGGAAACCAGTTTGGGTCTTATTTTAGTAAGTGCAACCATGGGAATACAATTTCCATGTGTAAGCATTAATGATAACAAGTGAGATTCATGAAAAAAAAATACGTTGTGCAAAACATAAAAATATAATGTTTGTAGTAAGACCAGATACTCTCTTTCCATTCCTCGCTACATAAACCAAGTTTTGTTTTCCTAGTCTATTTGAATTAATAAAACTTCAACTGAGCTTGACCAGTGTGGCTTGGTGGTTGAGCGTCAATCTATGAACCAGGAGGTCATGGTTCAATTTCCGGTCAGGGCACATGCCTGGGTTGTGGGCTCCAACCCTAGTAGGGGGCTGCAGGAGGTGGCCGACAGATGGTTCTCTCTCATCATTGATGTTTCTGTCTCTCTCTCTCTTTCCCTTCCTCTCTGAAATCAATAAAAATACATTTTTTAAGAATTAAAAGAACTCAGAAAGCTTTAAAAACTAATGAATCTCCTTTTCCTTCACGTGCTACATCATCATTTTCAATAACTGACTTTAGTCAGACTCTGAAGGCTTTAGGTACCTGATGAATATGTGAAAGAACATACACATGAATGAATGAATGAATGAATGAATGAATGATTTTGTTTATCACAGATGGTAAGGACTGGTTTATGGTTTATAATTTCCAAAATGTGACCTATTTGTTCTTTATTAATTGAAGGAATCTGCATAATTCCTGAGGCAGTACTCTTGGTTTTTAATCCCCCCAGGTGAAAGAGGAGAATGTGTTTATATTTTCATGTAAGATTTTATTCAAGTTATTTTCAGAAGAACAGGACACAGATTTTTCCTTCCTAAAGGAAATGTTTGGAGTTCCTGTTGAATACACAGGCAAAGCTGGTTAATTAGGTTAATTAATTAGTATAGGGGATGGGAAATGCTCCTGGGATCTCTGCTTACTGCTTGTGCATCACAGGCATGCATACGCACATCACGTTCACCCTGGCTTTCCACTCCTGCCTTGAATGGGTCTCTGGCTTTATCACACTCAGGCACCATCTTTAGATTTGGGCACATTGTGCTGGCAGGGGCCAGCACTAGTGGGGATGGTGTGGGAGGAACATGCTTAGAAGTTAGAGCAGAAGGTGCTGGAAAAGTCTTCCGGGTCATACGGTCTTGCAGGCTCATGATACTGCGTGATCAGACTATCCCCGGGCTGGCGGGAGCTTGACCAGTTGTCCCGTTCCTCCCTTCTCCCTGGAGAGTGAACCACCAGCTTTAATCAGAAGCTGTTGATTATGCCACATAGAGTAGGGCAGACCTTGACTAGTGATATGACAATCAAGCCAATCAGTCAGCATTAGCAAGCTGGTCTTGTTGCTTCCTGAGCTTTCTCGACATGATTATAACTGCCTTTTTGAAAAATCTTTCTCACAGAAAGGAAGAGATTCTATCAGAATGTCACCATCACACAGGGTGAAGGTGAGTGTCTGAAATTTTGACTGCCTCTTCCCCCCCCCCTGTGGAAGCGTAGAAACATTTTTCATCTCCAGCCAGTTGGGTGGTTGAGATGACCCTTCACACTTTTGTCGGATATGTTTCTGTAAGCCCTCCACCGAGGGACTCGGGGTTGTCTTTGTCTGCACCAGTTCAAGTAGCTAAATATAGAATGGTCACTTGATTCCACTTAACAGTCCCTGAGAGGTTTTCATTTGATCTTTCAAGGCGGCTTTGAGATAAACCTGGACCACAGGAAGCTGAAAACTCCCCAAGCCAAGCTCTTTACTGTCCCCAGTGAGGCCCTGGCCATCGCAGTGGCCACTGAGTGGGACTCCCAGCAGGACACCATCAAGTTCTACACCATGCATCTGGTAACAAGTTCACACACCTATACTCCGATGCCTGCTGTTGGCTTTCTAGGCACCTGGCAAAACTTGGGAGACTCCTACCCCAATTGCAATAAAGCCCTTGGGGATGCAATAAAGCCTGCAGCATCACTTGCCCCCTCGGATGTGCCAAACATTCCCCCCTGTGGCCTGGCCACCTGCACTTCCTGCTCAGAGCTCTGTGCTGGCTGGCGGGCCGCTCCTCTGGGCTCAGGCAGATGTGCCCCGCTAACTGCCCAGCTGTCTTACTTTCTGTCATGCAGCTGGGCTTTGTTCCGTCAGCAGCACAGTGTGTAATGTTTGCACTGTGGGTAGCACAGACAGGCAGGACCATGTCTGTCTGACTAGTGTTGTGAAGTTACTTTGGCAGTCAGTATTGGTTTGGGTTCAAGAACCCAAGGGGCAGGTGGGTGAGGTGAGGAACCCCCATGGAGCAGCCGCCATTCACACAGGGTGGCTCACGGAGGCACTAGAGCAGTGAGGAAGGGTCAGCTAGACTGGGCTCAGGCCCTGCAGCTTCCAAATTAACCTTGGGCAAGTTACTGCCCCTTTTCAGCCCCATTGTTCGCCATCTGGGAGTGGCGGGTGATAACAGTACCCACTCATGGCGTAGTGGTCAGATGGGTGAGCTGACCCATGGAAAGGCCTGGGTGTGGTCCCTGGCACCTACAGAGAGAGCTTGCAGTCCACACTGGAGTTGGTGCTATCATCCTGCCCCCACGGACTCGGCCTGCATACCAGCACGCTTCCTCAATACCTTCACAGCCTGCTGCGTGCTGGCTGCTCCTTTGACTGTCGGATGACATAGGGTGATGGGGCTACAAGTTAATGGTAGAGTACCTAAGCAGCCTGCTGTCGACAGGGCCAGTCTGGAAAATAATCCTGTTCTGGTTTGGCTGAGTTGTTCCCCTGCTTCCTGAGGTGTGAATGGAGCCAGCTGGTACGTTTTTCAGTCAGATTTGAATCCTAGTAATGCTTATGTGTCTTATTTACTGAATTTGACCTCTCTGGGACTCCATTTCCACATCTCTGAAATGGGTATAATGGTACCTATCAAAGGGTTGTTGTGAGGATTCAATTGAATGCAGCAGAGTCTGGTAGGAAAGAGTATGAGACCTTGGGAAGTACACTAATCCTAGGGCCTCTGTGAATATTCTGTGAGTCCCATGAGCTATCACACAGCGCTCTGCTGGCACGGAACCTGGCTGTAGCAAGCTCTCACTAGATGTGCTGCAGCTGAGGCTTTGGGTCGAAGGTTTTGGCTTGGCACTGCTCCTTGCTGGGTGTCGCTGGCTGGTTCTGTAGGATGCTGTGGTTGAACACGGTGTCCTTGGGAATGCAGTGCTTTTGCCTGGGCCCAGTGGGTGGTGACAGGGCTCTCTGCCTTTTGATTCAGACCACATTGTGCAACACGTCTTTAGACAACCCAACGCAACGAAACAAGGACCAGCTGATCCGGGCAGCTGTGAAGTTTCTGGACACCGATACCATCTGGTAATTGATGTTTAGATGAGCGTTCCTCTTGGACCTAGTGAGTTCCTTGGGCTGTTTTGCTTCATTTACCCAGTTATCAATAGAAGAAGAGGCAGGCCCTTTTCCTTTACCTCACTGGGCAGGGAGAGCAAGCTAGTTGACATCAGCACTCAGCTGCTCTGCAAACCCCGAGGAAGGGGAGCTCCTGGCTGCGGCAGTGTCGGAGCCTGGGCACAGCTCTCCCACAGCCCACCAGCCATCCCTCGGCTGGAGCGGGGGATGGGGGGAGGAGGGGAGGGGTGGTGGTGTATGCAGCTCTTGTAGGCTCCAGGACCAAGGGTCACTTGCCAATCCCCAGCAGGGCCTCTGACCCTAGGCTTCTGCCTACCAGCACAATCTCACGTCTGCATCCTTACCATTCACTACTTGTCAGCCTGGACACAGGATGGCCAGATGTTGATATTCAGGAGCTAGCTTCTTCCACTTCTAAATTTTCCCATCCTGTCTATGTTCTTCATTTTTCATTTTTCATTTATCATAT